GTAGAAAGCTCCTCTCTGAAAGAGAAAGTTTCTCCCCTGAGATAGAAGACTCTTCTTCTGAGGAAATATCTCCTCCCGTCAGAGAGAAAGACTCCTCTTTGGAAGAAAAGTCTCCTCCCCTTCAGATAGAAGACTCTTCCTCAGAGAGAAAGGTTTCCTCCCCTCAGATAGAAGACTCTTCCTCGGAAGAAAAGTCTCCTCTAGCAAGGAGGCTAGTGAAGTCTCCTCCTCTGAAGGAAAAGTATCCTCCCCTCAGATAGAAGACTCCTCCTCTGGAGGGAAAGGTATCCTCCCCTCAGATAGAAGACTCCTCCTCTGAAGGAAAAGTCTCCTCCCCTCAGAGAGAAGACTCCTCCTCTGAAGGAAAAGTCTCCTCCCCTCAGATAGAAGACTCCTCCTCTGAAGGAAAGGTATCCTCCCCTCAGATAGAAGACTCCTCCTCTGAAGGAAAAGTCTCCTCCCCTCAGATAGAAGACTCCTCCTCTGAAGGAAAAGTATCCTCCCCTCAGATAGAAGACTCCTCCTCTGAAGGAAAAGTCTCCTCCCCTCAGATAGAAGACTCCTCCTCTGAAGGAAAAGTCTCCTCCCCTCAGAGAGAAGACTCCTCCTCTGAAGGAAAAGTCTCCTCCCCTCAGATAGAAGACTCCTCCTCTGAAGGAAAGGTATCCTCCCCTCAGATAGAAGACTCCTCCTCTGAAGGAAAAGTCTCCTCCCCTCAGATAGAAGACTCCTCCTCTGAAGGAAAAGTCTCCTCCCCTCCCCAGGAAGAATTTACCACATGGTCGTAGCAGAAACCCACACTATAAAGAACAGGGCGGTAAATTCAACAGGCGCATTCAAGATAAGGGGGGGGGGGCTTATCTCAGATACGCTGCAGGAATAAAGACTTTTGTCACCTTGTGACAACTGGGTCGGCACTCTGGTTTCTATCGTGTGTCGTTTTGTATATTTGTGATTTCACGATTCCTCGACTTTAGCAAATATCTCGGGAATAAGTCGGGACTCTTCTTCTCGTCTTTATCAGTTGTCACTGCTTTCCTTTTGACTCCACCGCGCTGAGCTGATTATAAGCAGCCCGTGCAGAGGAATGCCATCGGTTGGTGCATCAATACCAGATATTCGCACACTTAAAGTTGTTTGTTTCGTCCCGCAGAGGTTTTTGCTAAATTGGGCTTCGGTCTCGGCGGCGGAGGGAGCGACTGACAGATAAAAGCCTCCAGCACAATCCTCCACGCTCAGACTTATTAAAGACACCGTTGGATGCTGATAACGATTATCTTCACGTGCTGAAGTAACTACAAATAAGGAGCATAGCGTTCAATCAGTTGTGATTGGCTTGGCGTTCTCAGACGTTCACTTGGCTGCAACTCTTTTTATGCACATTTTCAACTCGCAGATCACACTGTGGGAACCTCAATGGGGATTTGATGCTTTGCAGAAGTGGATAAGTACGTGCAAAATGTGACATTTTCAATAAATGAGAACAATGAAGCATGTTGGTGGATGCTCGATGGAGGTGGCCTGTAACTCATCATAACTATCGATATGAGCTCAATATATTTATATTTAGTCATTACAGACAACTTGGACGTCTGGCCTTTTCATTCTGAACATATGTCCATAGATCGAGCAAGGACGGGGGACAGTGGGGAACTTTTTTTATTTACAATGATCTGGATTAAGATGTTCGGTCAGGAGCTGCCGGTTCGGGTCACAGAGATCCAGGAGCTCCAGATGTGTCTTTCATTTCACGAGGTACAAAGAGGAATCACATCTAGGAGAAAACCACAGCGTGCAAAAAAAAACGGAATACACAATACTGTGGTTTGAGTCAATACACTTTGACTCAAACCAGCCGGCGGGTATCTGTACTTACTCAGCAGAGGAATCTACAGATTAGTTAAATGGCTGCGGATTTAAGGAGATTAGCATGGCTTTATTTATTTAATTTTCCGTCAGAGCCGAGCTAAACATGTTCATGCAGGTGGAGGCAGAGAGACGTGACCGCTGCTAATTAAGTCGTGATTAGTGAGGTCAAATATCCACAGCCAATTTACCAGGTGTAGCGATGTCACATTTAAATAATTCAATGGTCCAATAATACATCTCCCATTCATGACGCTTTCCACATTCTCAGTGCAGGCTGCTGTTTAAGTTCACAATTGGTGTAAATGGGGGCAATAAAATCTCAACGGGCACAACTGGGCTGGACAGTAAAGGTCAAACATTCTGATAAACTGGCTTTAGGTTTCAATCACCATCACTCTTATAAAGAGTAGAGACAGAAAACAAAGTGCATCCTAAAATTAATACACCAATCACTTGTTGTCTTGTTTTTCGCAAACGGAAGTGGAAAAACAGAGAAAGATGTAATTGGAATATTTAAAGACCTGCGGTCTCAGTCCCAATGCATGCTGGGATAAGTTACAGCCCCCTAAAGCCCTGAACCGCCACACTAAACAGAGCCCAGTGATTCAATGAAGGACGATCTTACAACCGTGAGTCCTGAAACCAAAGAAACGTGAGATAAAACCGGCTGTGATGAAGCACCGCCCGAGAACGATGGATGCAGCAGGTGGAGGTCCGCGTTGGTTCTTTTCTCATTTAAATACTCTTTCCTCGACCACGGAGAACTGCGGCCGACATGTTGTAAACGCTGATGCAGTTGGCGGGTTTATGAAACATCCGATAGAGGTCAATGAACGAGGAAAAATGAGTTTACAGGAAATAATGAAGTGAGTTTGGGGGGAAAAAGCATCTCAGGAAATGATGCAACAACAACAACAAAGAGGTGTGAAAAAGAAATTAAAAAAAGCAAACTCAGTTAACAAGAAGGTTGTGCGAGGAATTAACGCAGAATATTATTATGTGAGCATATAATACAGGCCACAGGCGGTAACGCGTTGGGAAGTTCAACGGCCTGTGAGCCGGGCGTGCAGATGTGCTGTTTGCATCACTGCCGGCCAGATGTCAGCGCGAGACGAGGCGCCACGAAAGGAGGCGAAGCGACAGGGAGACGGAAGCAAAGTGCTTCCCCCGAGAGTCCCAGACAACAGTGAGAGTACGAAAGGTCGGCGGCAAAGAGCCACTTCAGGGTTTCACGTCTCACATGGAGTGCTGAACAGCCAATGGGAAGAGGGGGAAATGTTGTCGAGCGTTTTCTTGTATTATTTGTTACTTTTCTTTGTCCTCTTGAGAGGAGAGAACTTGTCAAAACAGCTCCAGCTTAAATCATTTGTGTGATACGATGTGCGGCGTGTGTGTGTGTGTGTTTGTATTAACCACGTTGTGGGACACACGTCAGTTGGGTGACATTTTGGGGACAGCGCTGTCGAAGCGGCCGTACACTGAGAGGACTACCGGCTGTCTGCACACCTTCGTTCCTCATCCAGAGGAACACAACGGTTTGCACGCACACACACACACACACACACACACACTGGCTGAATGTCTGCAAAGTTCTAAACAATGTTTTAAGTTTAAAGACGAGCAGGGACAAGATTCTGTCATCAAAGGGTGATGGTTTACATTTGTAGTCTGTGTAGTTTTAAACCAATAAAAATGGAGCTTTTTAATAGTTTAACGGTGTGACCGCCTCTCAAGGGCTCTCGGTGTTTACCTGAAGGGGTCACCGGGGGGTCATCTCACAATTACTGGTAATATATTGTTAATAAATCTCACACGAGAGGTTGGGCCCCTCAAACGTACACAGAATCGGGTCCAACGAGGGTCCAACGAGGGTCCCACGCGAGTCCCAATGTCCTCCGGCTGCTCGTTCACACTTCCACAGCGCAGCGGGACGTCCTCTCCGTATCAGACACGTTCGCACCTACTGAAAATACGTTCGGAGGAGGCGACACGTGTAGCGTGTGAAAAAAACAACGCCCACTCGCTGGTGGGGAATTCTCACCACAAAGTCTCCATTGTGCTCGAGTCGCATCGAAAGGAGAACTTCTATCAATAAAATATGTCTGTGTGCATAAGAGACTTTCACACGCTTTCTGGCCAGAAGCTGAAATGCATCAGGAATCAGGAATCCACAGTGCGGGAGGAATGAGATAAAATTAGTTAGTTAGGGTTAGTTTAAAAATAAAGGAATAAAAGTTAAAAAATAAAAAAGTTAAAAATAAAGTGCTCCAGCGAACAGATACATATATATAGATTATATATATATATATTATATATATATCTATATATGTATATAGTATGTATGTATATCTATATATGTATATAGATATATATAATATATATACATCTCTACAGTTATTAACAGTTGAACCTGGTTAGACCATCGTAGCTGTGAGCTGCTGTGATTAATAATCATATTCTAATCCAACCAGGAGACTCATCTGGAGAGGATATGTAGTTCTGAAGCTCGACACTTTGTGATGTGTCAGCATTGTCAGTGTTTTAATAAGACGCAGCACATGCTGGTAACTATTAACCATCAAACACGGGGAGGGAGAAGAGCCGCAAGACGCTGAGAAGGTCTCTGGATGCAGATTCAGACATCGTTACAGAAGACAAGCGAATGGCTGCTAAATAATTACATCCGTGTAATAAATGTGTTTGCTGGCGTTACGTAACAACAGGCAGCTCTGTTTGGGACGCGTGACGATAGCTAGTGCTCACATACATAGAACATGACCCCCATGAAGCCCAGCTGGGACTACAGGTCCCGTCCTGCTGAACCCGAGTCCCCCATCCGACCTCACACAGGGGGGGTCTACGTGCCCGTACACTTTAAAGGTCACGCTGAGGAGAACAGATCTGCAGAACTGATCTGTAATTCAGCTGCGTCACCAGGCTCTGCGATATCAAAGGGATGGTTAGGATGGGGGGGTCAGGTTCTTCTCCTCAGCCGGAGGGTGTGTGGACTAACCAGCTCGGGAGGGGGATTAAGTGAGCGCTATATTTAGAATGCTTTCATTGTTCTACTTTGCTGTCAGACAGCTGTTATCTTCTCTTCAAAGACTTTTTACCGGCGTTACCGAACGATCCGTGAGCCGTGTGCACCCCCCCCATCTGCAGTTTGCCACTCATGTGTATGTAAATAATGAGCTTAACACGATGAGATCAAATGTAATCTTGTCAAATTTACTTTTGGTGGGAAAGCTGAATAAATCCATGAAGCAGATATTAGGGAAGTTTATTTGACCTTTATTTAACCAGATAAAATCAGTTGAGAACCAATTCTCATTGACAATGATGACTTGGCCAAGAGGCAGTAACACAGTTCACACACGTGACAGACAGCACAGATACAATGTACGACAAACACATGGAAACAAATGGCTAAAAACAACATGGTTAAATTAACAAACAGGACTTTGTAAAAATGGAAGAGAGAGAGAGAGAAGTGAGGGCTGATCAGCAGGTACAACAGTCATCTATGGCAGCTTTTGTTAGAACATGTTGAGCGAGGTGAGGGCCGTCAGTTTGAGCGTGTTTTGTAATGAGTTCCAATCATTTGCAGCGGCAAAATGAAAGGAGTTACGACCAACCGCAGTACGGACTTTTGGAATGATGAGCCAAATGAAGTCACTGGATCTTAAATAGCGATTGCTGTCGTAAATGTGCAGAAGATTTGAGAGGCAGCGAGGGGTCATTCCCAAAATGGATTTGTAGACCATGGGGAGCCAGTGTTGTAGCCGCCTGGTATGAAGGGAGGGACAATTCACCAATCTGTCCAGATCACAGTGGTGGGTGCTGAAGGGTGCACTTGTGGCAAATCGGATGGCTGAGTGGTGGAGTGTGTCCAGTTTTCTGAGGGTGGTCCTTGATGTATTTTATAAATGATATCGCCGTAGTCAAATAGAGGAAGGATGGCTAAATGAGAGAGAGGAGTCCAACCAGAAGCCAAGGCATTTGTAGGAGCTGAAAAACTAAAGCGCAGGGCATTGGGAGGGCTGGAGATGATTTCTGGTCAAAAGGCATACATTTGGTCTTTTTGGAGTTAAGGAGCAGGTGGAGGTTGTGGAAAGACTGTTGGATGGAGGTGAGACTTTGTTGAAGAATGGACACAGCAGAGTGGAGTGAAGGACCAGCTGAAAATATGGTGGTGTCATCAGCATACAGATGAATACAGGAATTTCCAGCTGCTTAGGCTACATCATTAATATAACTAGGGCCTAAGATGGAGCCTTGTGGCACACCTTTCGAGATGTTAAGAGGTTCGGGCATGATGTTTCCCGTCTTAATCCGCTGGACACGACCAGCCAGGTAGCTAGCAAACCAGTTTCAACATCCACTGGACAACCAATGGCAGCTACCCAAGTTGTTGTCCATGGCGGTGATGACGGTGATGACAGCATCAAGGACCTTCAGTGTAGCGGTGGTACATAAGTGGCCTTTCCTAAAGCCAGATTGCAGGTCAGATCAGATATGATTTGAGTCAACGAAGTGAACTAGTTGTTTATTATGAAATCGGTCTGTAGCAGTTCGGGTCAGAGCCAGAGCTATTATGAGAAAGAACAGCAACTCCACACCGATAGTTTTATGAATACAAATCGAATATTTATTTTGACATCTTCGTGACTTTAGAGCTGTTGAAAGGATTTTTGGGATGGTGACAAAAATATGAAGTAGACGCTTGAAGACCAGCTGCTATAACAAAGCATTAAAAGCAACCTGCGTCTGCTAATATGGATCATGGATGATCTGCAGGGAGGCACAGAGCCTGATCTGTGAGCTCTACAAGTTACATCGGCTCTCTGCTTTGGTTTGGTGCTGATCCGATCTGAACAGAGAGTTTTTATGATGCATTAGACCTCTGATCAAAAAAGTGCTTTTTACGTTTCACGCACTGCCTGATGGAGGAAAGTGAAATCACAGATAACGGCTTGACCGGAGAGCTGTCTGACAGCGAGGAGGTGGAAACGTTGCAGACGTAGCGGCTCGGTGTCACAGAGGAGGTCTTGGGTTCAAACCCCCCCAGCACTTTTCTGGGTGGAGTCTGCATGTTCTCCACGTGTCTGCGACGGTTCCTCTCCTAGTCCAAAGACATGCTTGACCCCGTAGGTGTCTCTTATGTGACTGGAGACCAGTCCAGTGGACCCCGTCCCTCACCTCATGTTAGGGGGCATTGTCTCCGCCCCCCCTCAGCGGAATAGAAGATGATTGACTGACTTGTTGACTTTTACAGTACTTTAAATTTCTTCCGTGAACGTTCATTTTTACCACAAATCCTCTTCTGTCACCAAGAAGAAGAACATACACGACCCCTCCCCTTAAACACGTTTCGTAGGAACGTCCTCTTTTCCTCGCTATTAGGAAGCATGTTGAGAGTCACAAAGTAATTGATGACTCACTACCCGTTCACTTTAATTCCACGTGCACCCCAGCAGGTTTTGACCTTCGTGCATCCGCCTCAGCTCTTTCCTGCTTCGGTTAAAAACAATGCAGGTTGGCGCTCTGAAGCATTTGGACCATGAACTGAAACCTTCCGGTCCGCTGTCGCCGCTGAAACAGGGGCTAATGTCATTGGACGTGGCAGACATCCTCTGCCCGGGGGGGAACAAATCATAACGGGATTTATGAGCCGGCGCCCACCTGGAGAATTCCGCGTTAGACTCCATCACGTCCGCCTGAGTGACATGAAGCTTAACCAATCTAGAGAGGCACCAGGCTCCTCTAGAAGCCCCGCCCCCTCTGAGGGGAACTCACTCCTCAAACAGGAAGTGGAACACGGGGAGAACTCAGCACTTGTGCAGTCTCTGAATCTTCTGAAGAGTTTATACGATACAATCAAGCCCGAAAGGCCACGATGCCTGGCAGGGATTACCGAGGGATTACAATGTAACCCCCCCCCCCCCGGGAATCCATCACATGGCGGGTCGGGATCTCTGTGACGGGGGACCAGCGGCCGGCGATGCCTCGGGCCGCCAACGCAAAGAGCCTGAGTGTGTCTGACAGCTCGACACAAACCGCCGTCTGGCTACAACGTGAGCGTGAAACAGACAAGGTTCTGACATGCCCCCCCCCTCGCACCTCCCAGGGGGGCTCGGAAAAAAGCTATTAGGGTCTCCAGGCGGAGGTCGTTTGGCGGGAGAGTTTACGGGTTCATTAGAAGTGCAATGTCGCACGGCGAAACTTGGGTTTCCTTCAAAAGGGGATTTTCAATCCCCTTGTAAATATGAACATCGGCGGTTTGAATAATTCAAATGTCAGTTTCTGAACTAGAGAGAGACAAAACTTTTCGAAACATACATCGTCATATTAACACGAGCAACGTTAATTCATCAGCATGCATGCATCACTTTGGCAGATTCGGTTTAAAACCACGAATGAAGTAACAGCTTCAGAGTAACGTCATGAGAGAAAAAAAGATAAATCCTCTTGTTCTCCATTTGTTGCATTAAACACTGGACACCATCTGTTGGGTGCAGCGCGGAACACAACAGCAGCAGGACGGCAGCTGCCTCCCTAAGACGCAGCAGCCTGGCCGCCGCCGCCGCACGCCGCACGCAGACACACTCTAAAAACACTTTCCCGGGCTGCGCTAATGGCCTCGTCTCTGTTTCTGCCGCTCCGAGCGCAGATGAAGCTAAAATAAAAAGTTACTCCAAACGAAAAGGCGGTTCGGGATTACAGAGTATTATCACAACAATTCAGGGAAAAAAGGCAGGACGGTTCCTGTGTATCTGACATGTACATCCCCCCCCCCACAGGCAGTAGGAGACTGAGATGGGCGTTCGTCTGGGCTGTTTGACCGACTCCCCGTGGTGGCTGCTGCTGTTGCTGCTCCGCGGCGCCTCCCTCTGCTCCGGCCGGCCGTTCGGGGTCCCCGCGCCCTCCGTGAACGTGGCGGTGGTCTTCAGCGGCTCGGCCTACCAGGCAGAGATCAAGGGGCGGCTCAGCCGGGAGAACTTCCTGGACCTGCCCCTGGAGGTGAACCCCATCACCGTGCTGGTCAACAACACCAACCCGCGGGCGCTGCTCACCCGCATCTGCGACACCCTCTCCACCAACCGCGTGCATGGCGTGGTGTTCGAGGACAACGTGGGCTCCGAGGCCGTGGCGCAGATCTTGGACTTCATTTCCACGCAGACGGCCGTTCCCATCGTGGGGATCAGCGGCGGCTCGGCCGTCGTGCTGCCGTACAAGGTCAGTGTGGAGGTCGGACCAGCAGGGGTACATATCAAGCTGCAGCCTCTTGATGAATTACAAATTGCATTAAAAATGCCCCAGAAGTAAATCTCAAGCGTTGAGGCCTAAATGCTAATAAATAGCACAACGCCACTTCAACGTCTGAGGCGCCTCGCTTAAGTCTTCAGGCCATTTCTTGGCGATATTATTCACAGTCGGCAACGGAGATTAGATAGCGCCCAAAGCTGCATGAAGCAATGAACGCAACGGACGGCGGTGATCAGCGTCAGCCGAGAAGCCGCCAGCAGCCTTCCACCTTCGGCTTGTAAATCGCACGTCGTTTCCCAAATGCTGAGTGCTAAATGAACCCAGGCGCTGGCGGGCCGAGCACCGGGAGACGCAGGATGGTGTGGAGCAACCGAGGCGGGTTGTAACGTCTGGACCATTCTGACTGTGCTTATTAAATCACATATGAAGCCAGTCCTTCACTTTCTAGAAACAAACTGAACCGTTTGCCCCGTTACAGATACCGAGTACCAATCAAATAGCAATGTTTGATCAATAATCACTGTGCCTCACTGAAGCCACTGGGATCGTTCTTTTATGGGTTGGGTGACATTTCCTAGTTAAAAACACAGATGTAAAATATACGTCTATATTCCTGTAATTCTTAGTTATGAAGCTTCTGGAGGTGCTTGATTAAGTTGGGTTTTTTTCCAAATCCCCAAATCTTTAGTTGCATCCGAGTTGTACCTTCAACATTTGAACAATTGGGACTCAACTGTGAAGTAAATGAAACACTTTGGTAGGTATTTGGGAATAATTGAAGCACAAAATCCGATGACTCGCTCTTTTCTGAACAAGCAACAACATTTTAATTGAATTAATTTAATCTCACCGAGAACGCCAAACCAAACGAAAGCCACTTGACTTAATATCTGTTTTTTTGCCCCTTGGGTGATATTTTAGTTAATCAAGCATTCAGTTGAGAATCTGTGATAATTACGACACCTCAGAGCAAAGAATTAAACCGTTGGTGCAGATTTATTTTCTGGGGAGCCGTCAAATAATCACACAGGGCCACGCGTGCAGCGGCTTCGGTGCTAATTACAACATTCATACTCCACAATAAACCACTTAACGGAAAATAAAAATCAGAATCACCAATTTGCTGAGGGATGCGTTTGAGTCGCTCAAAGTTCAAGGAAGCAAGAGATGAAGGAAGTGAAGGTTAAACACAAAGCATCAATTCCCCAAACTTCCTTTATATCTAACGGATTCCCGGAGATTGGGTATAAATCTGTCACTTAACAGAATTTGTGGCCTCCAAAGACGGTTAAATGATCATCAGCGCTGAATTAGAAGTGTACGCAGCGATGGAACTCTGAGTTATTCATTTATTAAGATGGTTTTAGAGTTCAGGATGGAAGCTTCAGCGTCTATAGGGACCAGCTGTAAGCCTTTCGCAGTCCTTTCGTCTCTGTTGACATTTCAGTGGCTTCTGCAGAGGACGAAACGGCTCGACGCCCCGAAGAAGAAGCAGATCACAGGGAGAAGCCCACGGCTGCAACAAGATCCTTCCCATGTATGATCTTTAGAGGTGTAGAGAAACGTAGACGCTGAGCTAATTGAGGCCATAATTGGATACGATTACTATTGTTCAAGGCAGACTGAACTGGTCCAACCAGCTCAACAACAACCACAACAGCAGAAGGATTCGTTTTGGTCTTCAAATTTAAAGAACAACTCTGGGTTGTGGGATTTGATTATTTGACTATTAGATTCAAGCCCGATTTCATTGTGGATTTGGACTTTTCTATTATGGTAAATCAAATCATGTCTGAGATGTATCAGAACAGTTATAGAAATGACTTAACAACTTTAATACACTTAAAGCTATTCGTCTAGAATTAGATTATAGCCATCATTTCTCTTTTCGAAGAAACAAGGAGACAATATTAAGACTCCAGTAATTCCCTTAATTCATTGGGCTGTGCAGACAGCCCCCCTGCGTCCCTTTGAGGAACCAGTGGTGGTCTTGCCACCGGCATCGTTTCTCCAGGGTAATAAAAGCGATGCCACTCAGCAGTTAACGCTGCTCCTTTACAGCAACTCAATCATAACGCATTACAAAATAAAACACCTGTAATAACAAATAAGTGTAGCAGCAGTGAAAATGCTTTTCATCAGTAATCAGCCGGTGACGGACGCTGAGAACATTCCTGTACGCTGCGTGGTGATCGTATTAAAGGTGCCTTGCGGAGCAGCGAGTGCATGTAATATTAATATATGGACGCTCCCAGTTGGGAACCCACCGTGATCTTCTGCTACCCGCTGAGGTGCAGGGCCTCTGATTGACACCAAAACCTCCCGCCTCGCCTGATAATTTGATATCTTTTAGGCAAATCATTTCTCACGGCATTGGGTCCCCACGCAGTCGACGTCCCAGATGTTGTTTTGCATATTTTGTCATCGGTACGTCACGTCCCATTTAGAATAAACCTTTACTTTGAAATACCCACGGTAGTTTGTCACCCTTTTATTCCCTCAAACAGAGCGGAGTCAAATTTGATAGATTTTATTAAATGGACAAATTATATTGTCTCATGTCCACTGAATTGAATCAGGATACAATCACATCGGGGAAGACTTACAATACAGGCAAATATCTCCTCTCATCTCGTGACGCTCGCCAGGTCGGGTCGTGGGGGCAACGGGAGACCCCAGACTCACAGCGGATAGAAAATGATTTATCGTGATAAAACTTTCCCCCTCCTGGATCCGGATGCATCGCCGTGCACACACGGCAGATACTCCGGGTACCGGGCACGCCGGGAGGAGTGCGCACTGATTTATGGGCCTCTGTCGAAGGTAGTCAACGAGGCAAAGGAGCTCATTCATTTTTCATACTCAGCGCCGAGAGCCGAGGGGTTTGATCGCTGTGGAAGTGACAGCATAAAATGAGGTGATAAACGGATTCCTGTCCCGGAGACATTTTAGCTTGTTGATCAGCTCCAGGATCCGGTTTATTTTCTACAAGGAGGGAAACAATCACAGGGAACGAATGTGAAGTATCTCCACAAAGAACATTATTCATTAGTGGACCTCTAGTTTATGAACAATGAATCAAGGTAGGTTCTTCTTTAGGAGGCAGATTGGCCAAAGCAGGTCAATCAATGGCCGACAGAAACCAGATCTCCAACAACAAAAGCCATGAGATCATATGGAGGTTTTCCCAGTCGAAGGGACATCTGGACGGCATTTTCAACAATTGGGGTAAAATTGGAGATAGAAGCTGTCTTAGTTTTAGATTCATCACTTAAAAAGGGAACAACAAGCGTGACCAACGGGGTGATTACGCGGTGAGTGAAGGAGGAAACCCTTCCTGTGATTGTGTGACTGAACAACTAGACGTCCTCCAGGAGCAGCTGCCGCCTGCGAGAAGATGCTCCAACGGCTCCTCAACACCAGGCTTCTTCTCTCATTATGCATTTAGCGCAACAGCCCGTCCTAAAATTCAAAGCATCCTTTGAAGCGTTCGTCGTGCGTTCTGACAGATCGCGTCCTCCGAGCCTCGGCCCCCGTCGAGTGGACAAAAACGTGAGCCAGACACCAGCAGAAGCTCTGATTGCAACACCAGCCCGAGGCTCTTCTACAAACTGGAGCACTTTGCTTTTCTCCGTTTCTCTCCGCCTGCGTCGCTCGTCTCTTCCCCCCCGAACAGAAGGAATCCTTCCTCCAAAATGTATTCCTTGTGTCTGGAGTGTAATAACCAGAAGTGGACTCACAGGTTGTTCTCTGGAAAGTGAAGATCTCCCTGGTTTTGTTGCTGAAACTGGGAAAGAAAAAACAATTCTAAATAAAATATAAATATAGAGACATAGTTTAATTAAAGTAACCTGTCTGGCTTCGTGGCCTTAAGCCTCCTGCTGTGTAAACTCAGTCGTGCAGCTGCTCTGCTAACGCGCTGAAGGACACACGCAGATGGTTCAATTCATTTGTGTCGCCCTTAATCACAAATTTGCTTCAGAGTGCTTTCAAATCTTCAAAGGATGGAGAGAGAAGGGGGGGGGGGGGTCCTCCAGGATGGACCCTACGACATGCAAAAGGTTCAGCAGCTACAGGTTCCCCTTAAATACTAATAAAGTCAAGTTTAAGTGTCACGGTGACCTGAAACGAGTTCCCCTCATGTCCATCTTTTCTTAATGTCCTTTTAAATATGTGGATTAAAATATAAAAACACAAAACTCAGAGTGCAACCTTGAGATTTTGGGAGACATTCTTATTACGGGTGGACGGATCTGGATGATGAACTAAAGTGGGTCAATACAATGCAGACCTTCCGTGCTCGTCCTCGTCCTATTTCGGTCTCGTCGCTGTCACACCGTTGGGTTTTCCGGAGAGGCTGATGGCCGGTGGAGGGGGAGGGGGGGGGGGTGTCTGTTCCTGGTTGCCGTGCAGGATCCGGGTGACGTCAGCAGCACAGGAAGGCGGCGGTGGCGGCGGAGCGAGACATATGTCCGTACATGCAGAGCCGAGGCCAGAAAGTCTTCACACGAGTCAACATCTTGCAGCCAATATTTCTTTCGAATGATTTCAGGTCTTGATTCCTTTCCTTTCTTTACAGTTTGTTAAAAGGTGAACTAGTCCATGAATATGAGACACGAGTTTCCTGACTGCTTTGAGGCTTTTTGGGGGCATGAGTCGTTCTTCACAGCTCACTTTGTTGGCGTTTTGGAGAATAATGCAGAGAGCATCATCTCCTCCTCCTGTTTGGGTTTCAGTGACGTACTGACAGCTGTGCTCAGGAGATAATCGTTGGTCTACCAACTCAGACCCGCCTCCAGCTGATCTCCAGACTGCAAAGCTTCCTCTCGGCTCAAGATGTTGAGCCCGACTGAATGTTTGAGGGGTTAAAAAGTGAGAGTTGACGGTGACGCGTGTGTGTGCGTGAGAGCAGATATGCCTCCTTGTGTATATTTCACCCTGGTGGATGTAATCTCCGCCCGTAGACGCTAAGCCTTCCACTCAATGGCCGTAATCTTCTTTGGGTCTGTGGACTATTACAGTGAGCTTCTGTGGACACCAGCGGGACAGAGTCCTGCTTGATAACCATTGGGCCTAATCTAACACACATCATATGGATTATTGTTTAATGTGATCACATGGTGTTCTCTCCTCTCTGAACCGTCTCTGGTTGGTTTGGATCCATGGCGACTTTTTATTCTTCCAGGATCACAACATGTTTTAAAATGTCATTGTTGCCCCACTTTGTAAGCGTGGCGGCTGGACGGTACGAACGTGATTGCCCTTTAGATGTGATCGGGACTCTGTGGGCTCCTAGAAGAAGTGCCGGAGGGGAATTCCTGTCTCACTCGGCGTTAACCGGCCGTGGCCGACCACTTGAGTCCGTCAGGCGCCTCGGGGGGAACCTCGGGCTCCGAGCTGCAGCCGACGCCCCCCCCCCGGGCCCCTTTGGACCGGCGGTTTGGTTGTTTAATGGATTGAAAAGGCAGAATGCATCATAACCACTGCCCCAGTTACAGTGTTATTACAAAGCCTTCTTTCTTTGTGTCATCACCATATCTCTCAAATCTCTGTGGCCTCCTAACAGTGATGTAAACGTCCAACGCGTCTCTCTGTAACGCAGTTATGCTGCAATAAATCATAAAGACAGAAAACCCAAGGCGAACCCAATCATTCATGTTAGAAAATATACCAACAGTTTTTATAGTGCCATCAAGTGTCACCACTACTGGAGAAAACAAACCTGCTTTATATAATGTCCACATTTGTGTCCAGCAGTCTCAGATGATCCAATCAGCTTATCATTTTTGTTTTTACATGATCATGCTGCAGGAAGTGTCTATTAGGGAGTCCGTTTTAAAAGGAAACACGTAGAATACAACGTGCCTGAAGAAATACGGCTCTTTCAAGCTTCCTTTCGGTTGCTTTCTGTGACGACACGGTCGGTCACACCTGACGTGTTCAAGGACCTGAAACCGGCTCCTGTTGAGGGGAGCCAAGCTTCACCCTCCCTGCATGAAAAGGTTTGACAAGTGGAAGGAGGCGTGTTACGAAGCCCGTCTGAAACCGCGAAACGCTCATACATCACGGAACCGCTGAACCTCCTTCAAGGACACTGAGCAGACTGAATAAGATCGAGGCAGCTGACCACCCCACACTCCTCGGCCGAGAAGGAGTGTTTTTTCCCCCCCAGAGAGGCTGTAGGGCCGCCTCATAACATATCTGCCCGACTGAGCAAGAGAAAGAGCTTTCAGGAGATCACACCGGAGAGAAAAAGAGAGATTTATGCTTTAGAAGAGACTAACAAGCCCCGGGACCAGTGTTCATAACGTCCTCAAACCTAAAGAATTATTGAAACATTTTGTTTGACAGGTAACAAAATATTCTTTTGATGTTAACCTCATCATCATATTATTAAAAAATGCTGGAAAATATTATGTCGAACAATGTTTCGACAAAAATGTAAAAGTAAATATATATATATATAAATTTATATATATATCATATCTCTATATCATATATATCATAAATTTAGTCCAAAAAGTTGGGGGAAAAAATTGAAAACGTCTGAATATATTGAGTCAAAAAACTTTGAGTTTTCAGCTTTTTGTAAAAAAGTACCGAAAAAAGTCAAAAAAAAATTGACAATTTGAATTTTTTTTTAAAAGGTCAAAAGTTATTGAAAATGAAACTGAAAATATGCAAAAAAACTACCAAATATAAAATATTTGGTCAAAAAATGTCGTGGGTAAAGAAAGTCGAGAAACATTTCTAAAAAATGTTTTGAAAAAAAAATAATATGTTGGGTAAAAAAGCTTTGACTGACTTTTTTCAGCTTTTGGTAAAAAAAGTCAAAAAAATATTTGGTGGGAAAATATGGAAAAAACATTTTGGAGCCATTTTTTTAAAGTCAAAAGGTATCTATCTATTCTATTGAAAAAGTTTGTTTTTTTTTAAGTCTAAACAGGTTAGGTCATTTAGCTGCCGCTTTCATCCAAAGCGAAAAAAAGTTTTGAAAGAAAAGTCAAAATATGTTAGTCTGAAAAAGGACAATGAAAAAATATGTACAAACCATGCTTTGTGGATGACAGAAAGCACACTTTGGCTTTATTTAAAATCTTATTATTTTCAAATCAACAATTTCTTCCATTTTTGTGCTTCAACATTTTGTGCTTGAGGGAATTCCGCATTTTTCCCACCAGATGACAACGTAACACGCGAGGCTCAGCAAAGAGCCTTTTCTTGGTGATTCATTGGTTTTGAAGCGTTGCAGACAGCACCGTTAAAGGTCTGAAAACTGCTGCTGCGCCTTTTTCCTTCGGGGGTCCGTCAGGCACTTTTGGCCACACCCCCAATCAGTGATTTCACAGCAGGCGGTCAGAGAAACTAACAGCACCTGAACATTTCCTTCCCCCCTAAAGCTATTTTTTGAATGAAGTAGCACGCGCTACTGTAAAGATCATTCACGCTATAAAGTATCTTCCCCCTCCCCTGCACAGAACGTCCTCATTTGTCTCTCAAGGTCACTGCATCCGCAGAAGAGACGGATTAGAGGCGGGGCGCCGCTATGGTGCCATTCTTCTGAATTTGCGAGTGTGGAAGACGGCCGGTGTTTTGGGGGCAGAAGCCCGACGTGTGAGTTTAGGCGATGAATGGGTCTGCAGAATGAAGCAGAACCACTTAAGTCCCACTGAGGCCGTTGTACGAACCCCGCTACCCGAACTACCTGTATTAAACAATACTCCTCTCTGTTTGTTTCACACCTCGGTCTCAGCTAAATCAATCATATCTTCCGGTTCCATTCAGGGCGAGGGCTCCAACTTCCTCCAGCTGGGCTCCTCCATCGAGCAGCAGATCAACGGCATGTTCAAGGTGATGGAGGAGTACAACTGGGACAGCTTCGTGGTCATCACCAGCCTGTACCCGGGCTACGAAAGCTACGTGGACTACGTCAAGTCCTTCACGGACACCAGCTACTTCACGTGGGAGCTGCAGGACGTGCTGACCTTCGACATGTCCGCCGACGGCATGAACGACGTGCGGGCGCGGCGACTGCTGCAGCAGATCGACGCCCAGGTGTTGCTGGTCTACTGCTCCCACGAGGAGGCCCAGTACCTCTTCAGCATGGCGGCCGAGTCGCGGCTGGTGGGGCCGGGCTACATCTGGATCCTCCCCAGCCTGGCGGTGGGGAACCCGGACGTCCCCCCGCCCGAGAGCTTCCCCGTGGGCCTCATCGGCATCATCACGGACCGCTGGAGGATGAGCCTGAGGAAGAGGGTGCGGGACGGCGTGGCCATCGTGGTGAAAGGCGTGCAGAGCTTCCGGAGACAGAGGGGCTTCGTTCCCGAGGGCCACAGCGACTGCCACAACCCGGCCCGGCCGCCGGCCACCAACGACACCCTCTTCAGGTATTTTCACTGTGTAGAAAGATTTGGGGTAATATTTCTCTAATGATTGATGGACTTCATTTGCTCCTGACTGTCACGCCATTATTTGAACACTGAGTTCATTCAGAGAACGTCATTTTCATTGCGTAAGTGTTGTTTCCCCTCATTTAAACGCGGAGCTCGATGTTGAACAGAAGTGGAACGAGACTCGGGGATGTTTTTCCTGACGGAGAGCCGCATTCAGAGGAAGAGCGCCGCCTCCTCGCGGTGACTCGCGGCTACGGGCGCTAACGGTTAGCATGCGATACGGAGCCCTGCGGCTGTAGAGAACCTCGTGGGCATTTCCCAGGATCCCCCTTATGGCAAAAATCACGATCGCGATTATTCTGGTCGTTTTTAAGACATTGATCCTCGCACTTGATTACGAAACATCCCGGTTCTATTGAACCCGAACTCCTGACTTAAGAAGCAACAAATGTTTTAAACCAGCAGAAGCTTCTGGCTGGTTCGGTTCAGAGCCCAAGGGGAGACACCTTTTTCCCCTTTGAAAGGCCCAGTCCGAGCATGAGACAAGCGGAAATGAGGGAACATTATCTAGGGCACTGATACCGTAGAACCCCCCCCCCCCCCTTGTCTTCTTTTAGACTTTTCCCAACCCAGCAGGCGTGACTCCAGCAGCGGCGGTAACGTGAAGGTCGGCTAGACAGAACAAAGCACTTTCCATTAACTTTATAGTCAGTTCTTTCCGTGATCCCCCCCCCCCGCGGGTCTCAGACTTGTCCTTGACTTTTTCCCCTCCTCTAACGAGCTCCTGGTAATGAGTCGGCTCACCTGGTAATGGGATTAGTGCAGATTACCAGATTAAAGGGGCTTTTCACACGGACGGGGGGGGGGCGAAGGCCACTCTCCTCCCGGCGGGCTTTCATCACCTCCGCTGGAGTGTCGGCCGAGGCGAGAGCGAGCGCTGGGAAAGCGCCGGCGGTCTGATGTAACAGGATGTGAGCGATGACACGGTGGAATCAGGAGGACGAGTTCTCTTCGCACTCCCCATAAATCACCTTTTTAAATGGTTCCAACGAGACGTTTGAATAGAGAAACTTTAATACTTAAAACACTTTAACACTATTCCTTTCTAAAGTCTTTGACCGTGTACTGAACCATGTTCACATTCATTCATATCTGCACCTTTATCAGCTTTGATGTAGACAGAATCCATGTCAGTAAAAAACTAAATGTCAAAGGCAGACGGGAGGACGTGGCTTCATTAAAGGGACAGTTCTTTAACTCAATGTACACTTTTATCAAGTACTGATAAGAACCTCTTATGCTAAGAAATTCTAAATAGTAAATAAAAGTAATGATAAAAAGAACTGTGCATAGAAAAAAAAAGGAAAAGTTTCAATTATTTGAATGGGAATAGTTTCATCCCGTTCTGTAGTTGCAGGCAGGCAGACCCAGAATGCGCTGGAACGCTCTGTTTCAGTTATCGGGCCAGAACGCGTGTTCTTCACTCTGCTGACGGACGGAACCTTGAATCCCACATGGAGGCGGTTTGATTCCTCTGCTAATGAAAGCTTTCCCTCTGGCTTTGCTCCCCTTGCAGGCACATGTTGAACGTGACCTGGGAACACAACGACTTCTCCTTCAACAGCAACGGCTACCTGGTGAACCCGGCCATGATCATCATCACTCTGGACCGAGAGCGCCTGTGGGACAAGGTGACCTTTTCCTCATCATTACGCCACCAAACATAGTTTCCTCATCACACCCACGGGACGGCCTTTCACACACATCCGTCTCGTTCTGCGAGGATATTAAAACCGCCATACACACACGTGTTTGTCTGGCGCCTCGTTGACTTCCTCTGCTGGGTGAATAGAAGCGGTTGAGTTAAAGCTGTTTGGGTCGGTCTTACTACTTCAGAACATCATTTAACGCTGAATCCACAGAGCTTGAAGAGTTGCTTTGGAGGACCGGGTCGAGGTAAACTACAACAAGACGGATCCGCCGAGGTTCCCGTCAGATGGAGGTCACGGGTCGGTAAAGCGCGGAAGGCGTTGGCGGGCTGCTCGCCCTCTCAGCTCTCTCTCTCTCTGCTCCCACAAAGCAGGCTGACCTTGTGACCTCTGGTTGCGTTAGCCAGCGTGTTTGTGAGCGATCGCTACGACGTCACGTTGTAGGTGTGAATGTTTGTTTATCTTTAAATAAACCAGCTGTTCTTCCTAACAAGATGATCGATGACATCATAGAGAACATCATCAGAATAATAACGTCAATCATTTTCTTCTTTTTCCGCCCAAAACAACAAAAAGACCAACAGAGAACCGCTGAGAGGTAAAGACCTCATAAGCAATAGTGAGCCGGTCCTCAATCAGAAGAACTTCTTCCACCAGCTGACCTTTTAAATAAGCCCGGCGCTGTGCTCATTGCACAGGAAGAAGTCGTGTTCGCCGATGGCTTTTTCCGCCCTCGACTTTCTTGCGGCCCGCGGGCTCTTTTTTCCCCGAGAGCTGAAAATCAATTCCATCTTGTGATTGCCTTTTTTTTTTGCGGCCTTGTCAGTGTTCGCTGTGCTCGGTTCATGCATCACCCGCGAGGCCCCCGCCGCCCCGCACAGCGCCTCCCAACCCAACAACATGTCTAATGCAGCCTTAAGTAAGTCGCTGCTTTACAGACAGCGATTATTCAGCCGTTTCTCCAAGTCAAGGTAACCGGGGGGGGGGGCATCGCTGCAAGCTGCTGGCTCTGTATTTGTCACAATACATTCTCGCGGCTGGTTGACACACAACCCCCCCCCCACACACAAAAACGGGACAGGTTTTGGTACCGGGCGGGTCTGGCAGTCTTTGCCGTGCAGAGACGCCCTCGGCCTCCCCGTCGTGACATCACTCTTTGTTAAACGCTTCTCCCCGAGCAGCGAGCGAGACGTCTGGGCTGAAAGACGGCGAGTGCACGCGACAGACAGACAGACAGACAGCAGGAAGTGATCAAGGCGACGGGTTGCGAAGAGGAGACGATTGGGTCTTTTTGATTGAGACGACCCCCCCCCTGCATGAGCAGCAGGGGTTATGAGGAAAAACATTTGATCCACACTCATGTTAGAATGTCTCCTGTTTAAGTATTTACAGTGTGTTGCCACAACTGTCCACGTGTCTCAATTAAGAGACATTTACATGTTATATTTAAATTAAATGACAATGATAGACAAAAGTTGTCTAAACATTTAAGGAATCTTTTTATATTTCTGGTGTCACGTTGGGTACGTTGCATATTCCGTATTCATGACTTTCATTGCAAAATCAACTCCTGATTCGTCGTGAACATCAATAAAGTACATTAAAGATATGCAGGTAAACAGTAAACCTGAGGATGAGAACCAATCCCACACACACACACACACACACACACACACTCACACACACACACACACACACACACTCACACACCCCTAATAGACATTTCGTTTTATTGCCACAAAGAAATGAACAATGAAATAGTTGATGATTTAAAGCTCTTTTGTTGATTAGCGCCTCGTTAATGGAAGGTATTATCTTGTGGATAATGAATCTCAGTAACAACGTTTCAGGCCTTATTGGTTACAGGGTCTTGCCACAGAGTGTTAAATCAAAACACATCAGGAGTGGGGCGGCTCTCGGTGATGAATCACCTCTGGTAAGATGCTTCTCATTACTGTCTGGAAGCTGACAAATGTAAAAATCTGTAATTCAATTCCTCAATCATGGATGCCAAAGGATAATCTAATGAGCTCGCCTCATTCAGCTTAAAGTCAACAACGAGTTGGTGTCTTTTTTAGCTAATTGGGGTCCAACAGGTCCCGTGGGGGTCACGGCTCATCCTAATCAAGGCTCCATTTAGATCTCGACTGTGCGTTCGGCTTCCCCACAACATCCAACCAGCTGACTGGTGACACAGCGGCTGGAGTTGCGTTCATTGCAGTAGGTGTGAAATTGCACCCTTTACATCCCCGGTGAGCCAAAAAACAATTTCCTCTCCTTTGCTGCGGGAGGTTCCGGATGCACAAATCACGAGGACGAGCGACGACAGAGACTCCGAGACAACTGTATTAAGAGCGCTGAGACGTGCAGGACGCGGCATGGGAAGCGTACAAACCTCCCTCCCCCGTTCTCTCCTCAGGTGGGGACCTACGAGATGGGGATCATGCAGATGAGATACCCGGTGTGGCCCCGGTACGGCTCCTACCTGGAGCCGGTGTCGGACTACAGGCACCTGACGGTGGCCACGCTGGAGGAGAGGCCCTTCGTCATCGTGGAGGCGGTGGACCCGCTGACCGGCACCTGCGTCAGCAACACCGTGCCCTGCCGCCGGCAGTCCAACAAGACCGAAACGTGAGTGATGGTTCACCTGAACTTGGTTTGTTAGTTAGTTTGTGACCGGTCCAGTTACAATTTACCTCCACTTCTGTCAAACCGTCCAAACGCCGGCCGTGTGCGTACATGAGACACGTGGAGGGATGGACGGATGACGGATGAAGGGAGGAAGGTCTTTATTGTCCTTAGAGGGAAAGCATCTCCAGGACTTTTATACATCTAGAATGACATTTGGGTTCAGTCATCAGAACCAGACAAGAACTATTGTTAAACTAAACAAAACCCAGTTTTATTGATTTTACACAGAAACACCAACCCTGTAAAAACAGAAGTGAATAAACCGCTGCTGATTTCAACAGTCGAGGAGCTGATATGTCCGACAGTTCTAAAGACAATTCACATAGAATCCGTAAAAAACACATCTTAGGCTTTAAATGAGATCATTTTGAGATTCTGTCCATGTTTCCATCATCAGTACGACCTAACCGTCTTTCAAAAACCCCTGAAGGCGCTCGCGTGATCAACCTAATTGATTTTGTACCCAACTCAGAGCGCCATTAGGTGTTGGATTAAGAGGCTCTTCCCCTGCCATTAGCCTCGCCGTGACTTCTAATTCCTCGGCGAAGCGAGCTGCTCATCAGGCTGCTCGGCCGCAGTGTGAAATCCACGGCGGCGCACTGTGACCCGATCACGGCGCCGCATGGCGGGGTATCAATTAGATGGGCGATTAGGCCGTGTCATCAGTCCCAAGCGCCTACAGACGGATGTTGGTGTTCATTAGCAGGGGGGAGAAGCCGTTACTGACAATGGCGTTAACGAGACGAGGGGCGGCGCGATGAGGTTCGCGTCCCCTCCGGCGTTAAGCGTCACCGTGGCGCTTTATCGCTCGCGCTGACCAAATGGCCCCGCCGGCTCGGAAAGTACGTCACTCCCCATTGCAGGACCAATCCCAGCCGGAAGGAGATGAAGTCAATAAGGGGCGAATTAGGTGGCGGCACTGAGCTGAAGGAGGAATAACGAAGGTGGAGGAGGTGGATGCTTAAACTGTCTGACCTGAAGATGGAGTGAGCGTCTCGAGATTCCTCTCATTCATTGTTGAGGTCACGATTGCGATTGCGGTTCATTATTATTTCAGCCTGTGATCTGACTGACAACAAACACCCAGACCCCAAAGCGTCCAAAATCTGATAATATACAATTAACAAGCACACAAAAACTCATCATAGCAGCAGAATTCTTACGTTTAAGAAGTTGGAACCAGCAAATGTTGAGTCATTTTCCTGTAAATGCGACCAAAAAAACCTGCATTCTTGTTTCATTCTGTATAATATAGGATTGTGTTTAGAACAAATGTGATAAATGACTAACTGATGTGATATCCCATCATCACATCATATGACAACATGCATCATGGAGTCCGTCTGACCCCGACGTGACCACAACAACACACATCAGGGCGTTCTAAATGGGGAATGCTTCTCCATTTAAATCCTTACCCCCCCCTTCAGTCAGTCAGCCTGGCAGCCCATCTGTGTGGTTCCCCCACTCGGCCGAACAGCCCACCGGGCCTCGACTCAGACGTGGCCAACGCCGTTAACACAAGCTCGTCCCTCCGGCTCACCGGGAAATCTGCTCTATGACTGCAGAGATTTATTCAGAGGCAGAGCCCCCGTGAGGGGGGGTTATTGACCTGGCAAGATAATGTCAACACGCATTAAACAGTGTTTAATGGGAGCGTGAGCAGGACTTGATCTAATTAAAGTGCAGCTGTAGACCAGCTCCCCAGGGGGGCTGAGAACCAGGCGGCAGATAAACCTTTTAGCTGGCTACTTGTGAGCCCGTCCACGTGAAACCAGTACACAACGGGACCCGAGGGCGGTCCAAGCGGGGTGTTCGGGCTCAGTGTGAGAGAGGGTGCGGAGGCCTCTAAGGCACCGACGTCGGGGGACTCATCGATATTTAGAAATCCACCAATGCATGTTCACGACCATCACGGATTCATCTGGATAGTTATAACGAAGTCAAGAAGCAGCTAAATGTATCCAGCGGCCACCGGGACAGACGCGACTTTCATGATCAGAATTAGGTTGTAAACCCTCTCAGTTCACTTGTCGACTCATACTTTTATAAAAAGACGGATCCTGCTGCACTGGGATGCTGGTCAATGCAGTGGTACTTTAACACTTCAAACTCAATTCAGCTGAAGGGAAGAACCCAACCCCCGTGTTTTATGATCTGTTGCACCACAACCAGCGACCCTTCAAATTCGATTTGTGACCTCCTCTCGTCCCGGCAGTTTGGAACAGTTTCAGTCATTTACGCATTGGGGGGATGTGCAGCATCGCGGGCGGGGGAGCGGAGGTCCTTTACTTTAATGCTCATGAAAAGTCACCGGCTTTACTGCTTCTTTAAGAGGCCAATTCTTCCAGGGAGTCTGAGTGAGCGGCTTCCAGACATCGCTCTTAAAAACGACCACACTTTGAGTAAACAACCCGACCGATTCCCAAAGACGCATTTGACGGCATTCTGAGGCGCGAAGCCGACCATTGACCCCCCCCCCCCCCCCCCCAACCGGGGTTTGGGGAAACCGGGGGGGTTGTTACCGCCGCGTTTTTCTCGCGGTCTGCTGGGGCGGCCCCCGTTACACCCTGGAAAGTATTGTGTGTTTGGTTCAGCCCCCCCCCCCCACCCCCCGGTGCTGATGAGCGGGGGTCCATTAGACCGGCAGGTCCGGGGGAGGTTACGGCTCGACGTGTCAGCGGTGCTCGCCGGCTCACTACCTTCACCTGCCGCGGCTCAGCTGCTGCAGGTGCCTCTGATGCCCGATGAAGGTCTGATGATGGGACGTGGCCCCCGGGGGCAGGAAGGAAAACAGACGCGTCACGACTTTAGAAACGCAGTCTTTGATTCATGGGATGATTTACGGCCGGTATGTAAATTTAACATGTGAGCCACGTCGGATGACTTTTGCTCTGTAAACGTTGTAAACATGAGTTTATGTCTCAGTCTCTAGTTCCAAGTCTTCTTCAACACAGCGTGATGTTCACTTAGTGGATTATGAGCCATTTAGAGTCAAACAGACCGTAAAGCAGGGGACGCTGTAGGGCGGGGCCACACAGTGATTGACAGGTCTCTCGGTGTCCTGGGCCACAAAGGAAGGAGCGACCCCCGCCTGACCCCCACCTGATGACTTTGCATGCGGTTCAATGCGGCTCAGATAACTTTACACGAATGAAAGACTTGATGTTTCAGTTCTGGGACTCAGATCAGGGTACAGGATGTTTAACGCGGCGCTGAACTAGAACTCATTCACATCACCTGCGTCATCCCGTTGCCGTTAAAAGTGAAGGACATTTTCATCCCCACGTTCCTGGTAATCCGGCTGATGAGTGAGGGGAATTGATTCCCTCACGTCAGCCTCTCACTTGGTATGCCTGAGGCCGCGTTTAGCTGCGTGCTCCGTCTGACGCTCCACGCCGCCTCCTGGAGATCCTGCTGCTCGCTGCTCTACTTTCAATAGAGTTGGCAATACTGGGCTGGATTTCACTTTCGTTTGTATTTGTTTCAAATTCAAGGGGGGGATTTGTTTTGTGTGGTGAATTGGTCGCCCAGAATCATGGAACTTCACTGGTAACTGTTCAATTCGTCGCGTTGCGACACATCAAGCTGCATATTTAAACTGCTAAATGAATACGAACACCGCTGAATGGCCTTTTAATCTGAAGCGTCAAAGTGTCCGTCAGGCGGCGCTTTGAGACGCGGCGCTTTGGTCGGAGCGATCCAGCACGGAGGTTCGGCCTCGTCTTCCTTTGTTTGTTTGTGATTAATTCACGTTGGACTTGTTTTGGTCGGCCCAGCTGTCCGTCCATCTGTCGGGGCCGGGGCACAATGCGCCTGTGGAGGAGCTCCAACGCCCCCCCCCCTAATATCCTGACGTCGGCGTGCTCCTCTCATCACCATCAGCGTCATGCAGCCGTTCCTTCATCGGTCCCTCCTTCGGTCACACTGGTTCCATGTTCCTCGATACTGGAAGCAAAAGCATTGACTTTGTCCGTTGCCAAAACTATGAGAAGGAAACGAATTGTAGCATAAAATTGTGGTGTCTAAACTAACGCTTATTATTTATCACAGATCTATATATTTCCTATTACGCTGGTTCCAAATAATACAAACAACGTATCGGCTGTAATCATTTGTAATGTCCCTTGTGTTGATAATGTAGAATGAGACTTTAATAGCATCATTTGTAACACTGAGCGGTCGGGAGGAACAAAGCCAATGACGTCGCCTGTCCCTCTCTGCCCCTCAGCATTGTGGGTCACACCGAGGCCTACACCAAGCTGTGCTGCAAAGGCTTCTGCATCGACATCCTGAAGAAGTTGTCCCGCACCATAAAGTTCTCCTACGACCTCTACCTGGTCACCAACGGCAAGCACGGCAAGCTGGTCCGGGGCATCTGGAACGGGATGATCGGAGAGGTGAGAGGCGGCCCGGCTCTTACGGTCTCCTTGGGCGTCATTACTGCAGCTGTGCAGGTAGCGATGAAACGCGGCTTTCTGTTCATCTGCTGCAGGATCAAACACCTCTTCTTGTTCGAGGCAGCTTCCTCGTCTCCAGAAAGCAAACGTTGAGATATTTGAACGTGGGAGGTCACGTTATCTCCCTCCTGTCGACTCCACGCGGCATCACGGCCGTTAGATTCAACGCTTTTACAGCTACTTTGTGGCTCAATGTTTCATGATCCATGAAATGCTCGAATTCCAGTTTAAGAGTGGAATATCGTTTTTAATAAGACGTCCTTACATCCGGTCCTCACTGGGCTCGATGCATCAACATCTGCCACCTCTTAAACTCTTAAACTGGGGCGACTGTGGGTGAGTGGGGAGGCCGTCCTCCAATCAGAGGGTTGGCGGTTCGATCCCAGGCCGGCCATGTGTCCTTGGGCAAGACACTTAACCAACATTGCTCCTGTAGCTGCGACTGCAGTGTGTGAATAGTAGTTACTGATGGCAGGTGTCACTGTGTGTGGTTCTCCTGTCATCAGTGGGTGTGAATGGGTGTGAATGATGTCATGTAGTGTTAAAGCGCTTTGAGTGGTCCGAAGACTAGAAAAGCGCTACACAAGTACAGATCATTTACCCTGTAAACTGTGATACTTTGGTACTAAGATGGTAGAAAAATACGTCATTGAAAACTTTGTAAAAATGCAAACATTTTCAGACATAAACGGAGAGATCACCACAGCTTCTGAAGAAGATGAAAGTCCTTTTCATGCTGCTGTTTACAACTTGAATGATTGGGATCTTTCACTGTGTTTAAATTTCTTTCATTATCAATGCGATCAAACGTTCAATCATTTAAATGAGCCTGCATGAAAGCAAATGTTATTCTTAACTATATGATTTTTCGTGTTTTCAAACACCAACAATCAACCAAATAGTGATAAAAGCTGCAACTTTTTTCTTTGATTATGAGCAAAACACACAGAGAAGATCAGAGTGGACCTTCGTTTACCAGTGATTTGGTAACGAGGTCCGTGAGCACATAGAAAGGAGCAGCAAGTTTCCCTGTGACAACCACACCATCTCCCTCCCCAGGAACCTGTCATCGGGTATTTATTCATTCATTCAGGTTCCGCCCGCTGTGGCAGTTCTACTTCCTGCTTGAGATATTTAGTCATTGAACGCCTCACGTAATGGGCGTCGTGCTTCATGCACAGTACCTGTACGACGCATTAGAGATGGATTACATCACAAAACGCGTCGCATTAGGCGACGGCTGAGAGTTGTGTCCAGCTGGCTTGAAGAAGTGGACAGTCCATCATCCTCAGGGCCGGCGGCCGAGCGGAGATCCATCTTGGAAAGCTCAGCGGGGGCGTGCGGCGTTTTGTCGGGACGCCTTAGATTTACGACGCCTGTAACTCGTACGTCCCCCCCAGGTGTTCTACAAGCGGGCGGACATGGCCATCGGCTCGCTGACCATAAACGAGGAGCGCTCCGAGATCATCGACTTCTCCGTGCCGTTCGTGGAGACGGGCATCAGCGTGATGGTTGCCAGGAGCAACGGCACCGTCTCACCCTCGGCCTTCCTAGGTGAGAGACTCCCCCAAGGGGGGGGGGGGCGAGGACGGACGTGTTGGTGTGGACATGGGACACATCATTCACGTATTGAATGTTGAGCTCTTCCTGTGTCCTATATCCTGTGTGCTTTGTCCTCTCTTCCTTCTCTTAAATCCCTCCTGTTTCCTTCTTCCTCTGTCCTCTGTCCTCGTCCCCCCCCCGTAGAACCGTACAGCCCCGGCGGTCTGGGTGATGATGTTTGTCATGTGTCTCACCGTGGTGGCCATCACGGTCTTCGTCTTTGAGTACTGCAGTCCTGTTGGATACAACCGCAGCCTGGTCAGTGCCAAAGGTGAGTCCCCCGTCCCCCCCCGTCCCTCCCATCGGCCATCTGCTGATTCCCTCTGCATTGCCACGGCGCCGGGGTGGAAGATCCTTTTTGCTTTTGACTACGGACCAGAGAGCCGAAATCTAGCTTCACCGTCAGAGAAGAAAGACGGAAAATAACATTTAGTTTCTTCTATTTTAAGTTTTAGTGACCATTTAACCTGTTTAAGAATCCAAATTATTTTTAAATTATATTCATGGCAGATTCATGTTTGTTTCAAAGAAGCACATGAGATGCATTCCATCTTACTTTGATCCCAATGCAGGAGAGAAAACTGCATATTTAAATGAATCAAAAGGGGTTGAATAGATTTATTTCTATATTGGCATCTCTGGACTTCTGCATGCGGAGACGACAAACACTGGCGTGGGGAGGATTGTGAGAACCAGGGACATCAGAGCCTGTTTACGGAGGCCACATATTGGATCGATGCCTGGAAAATTGAGGTGTCGCCGTGTGGTTCTATAAAACATCTTTTAATGGATGAAGGCCGGCTCGGGTTTTATGTAGAGCAAAAAGAAACTCACTGCAGGACCGACATGAAATGGGTTGTTTACACAGCCGGAGACGGATCCACTCACATCTTTCAGTCTGCCGACGTGTGTCGCCTCATTTCAAGCATCACATCAAGTGATGGAAAACACGGGCGGATTCCCACTGCGTTGAAACGCTGCACCGGCAAACAGCTGCGCAGCCGAATGCGTCTTTAGTCAAAGCTTCACCGGCTGTCTGTGTGGCCCTTCCAGAGCCCGGGGGCCCCACCTTCACCATCGGGAAGTCCGTGTGGCTGCTGTGGGGCATCGTCTTCAACAACTCGGTGCCCATCGAGAACCCGAAGGGCACCACCAGCAAGATCATGGTGCTGGTCTGGGCCTTCTTCGCCGTCATCTTCCTCGCCTCCTACACCGCCAACCTGGCGGCCTTCATGATCCAGGAGCAGTACATCGACACCGTCTCCGGACTGAGCGACAAAAAGGTGCAGTGTGCGCGTGTGCGTTTGATGTACAGGAACAACACAAAGTGTGTAAACAGCGCGAGGTGCAGTCATGAACACCGTAAACAGTTTACCTGGTTTGTTTTTCTACCCTTCAGTCAACACTGATTTCAGTGGTGCTTTGTGTAGAAACATAGTTTGACAGATCCGTCGAGTTGAATCAACTAATCGACTGGACGACTCGCGTGAGTCGACTCAGAACCTCTTTGGTAGAAGACTCAAAAGCAGATTTTAACGCATCATTGAAACACGAACCACAGGATTATTTTGAAGTAAAGCAATGATTCCAATAAGAAGTGAAACACAAAGAAGCAGTTACACTGACTTCAGGACAGTAAGTCTAGACCTCAACCAGCAGGGGCTCTTTCTTCCACCCAACAGAATCTATAAAAGAATCGGATCACTAGACACTGAGAGGGTGATGTCATCAGCATCGATGAGATGGATTCCCACCCACATGTCACGTGCATGAACTCGTCCATGAGAGGCTGCTGGAGGCTTGAAACCACAACGCAGGAGAAGTCATATTCTCATCTGCCAACTTTAGCTCCAATCGTCCCCCTGCTAATGTACTGAGAACATATTTGCATAAGGTTAATTAAAAAGAGCAGTTTCGTCGTTAGCATTTGTCCCCCGTCTCACTCCCTGTCCTCTCGGCTAATTAAACGCCCGTGGTGCTCCTCACAGCGAGAGGGGGAAGTATTTGGGTTTCTTTGGACCCGGTGTCTGTTAGATGTGTGAATTAGCAGAGCAAGAGGCCATCAGGATAAACAGTGCTGAGAGTCATTGCACTAATATGAGCCTTTAAAAGCGTTTATGATGCTGGATGACAGGAAGCTGCAGCGCAACAAAGTCAACCCTCGACACCTGGGCGACGTATTTAAACGTGCGATCAATGGACATCGCGGGTCATGCTCGTTCTTATCAAACCCCCCCCCGCTGTGCCTGTGTCTACAGTTTCAAAAGCCGCAAGAGCAGTACCCCCCGTTCCGCTTCGGTACGGTCCCGAATGGCAGCACGGAGCGCAACATAAGGAGCAACTACCCCGAGATGCACTCCCACATGGTCAAGTACAACCAGAAGGGAGTGGAGGACGCCCTCAACAGCCTCAAAACCGGGTAGGGGGGTCCAGCCGGGTCTCGCTCAACAATGCATTTGGTGAGCAAACGGTAACTCAACGACTGAGGACTCCGTCTCTCTCCACCCGGCTAGGAAACTGGAGGCCTTCATCTACGACGCCGCCGTGCTCAACTACATGGCCGGCAAAGACGAGGGCTGCAAGCTGGTGACCATCGGCAGCGGGAAGGTGTTTGCCACCACCGGCTACGGCATCGCCCTGCAGAAGGACTCACGCTGGAAGCGACTCATCGACCTGGCCCTGCTGCAGTTCCTGGCTGATGGTAAATGATTCATTTATATATGTGTTTATTATCTATACATACTCTTGTTTACCGATCACTAAGTGTTAACTGACAAAGGCAAAGACGGCGTATATAAGTCTCTGGTAGAGACCTGTCAATCAGCACGTAGCCCCGCCTTGAAGCATCCCTTGCTTTAAGGTCTGTTTGACTCTACGTGGACCATCATCTACTAAATGAACATCATGCTGTATTGAAGAAGACTTTGAATTAGAGATTGAACCATAAACTCGTGTTTATGGTGTTTACTCACTTCAAGGAGTGTGGCCCCACCCCCTGTCAATGTAACACCCAGGTAGCCAATCAGATTACATTACAGGTCATTTAGCTGACGCTTTTATCCAAAGCGACTTACATTACATTTTCATCCTGTGGCTTTTTACATTTTTGCCCGGGGAGCAATCAGGGGTCAGGTGTCTTTCTCAGGGACACTTTGACATGGGACATGGGGCAGCCGGGGCTCGAACCGCCAACCTTGCGGTTCCCGGCGCTCCCTCTCTTCCGTCGACCCCCCCATGAGAGGCCGGCTTTACTAATTCATTACTCACTTCCTGATGTGATCATGGTAGATGAGGCAGAGTGGATATTTGTGGTTAGAACTACATGATATATTAGTTGTTTAAGAGTTAAAATGTAAATTACTTAGATCGCTATGGGCAATAATAACTGAATTTGCACTTGAACTTGAACAAACCGAAGAAATGATGAGAGAAGGAGAAAACTATCCACGATATACTGTAATGATGAAATAAAGAGTCACATTTAAAAGAGCAGGAAATGGGAAAAGGGAATGATTAAAGGGTATAAAATACTATTACAGCAACGGCGAAAATGAGACGGGTCATAAATGCTCCACGAGGTGATTTAAAATGCGACCCTTATTCTGCCGACCAAAGGCTCCTTGGGCAGCTTATTTCAAAGCCTCCAGGAAAACGTCTGTTCACCTCTGGGAGAAATATGCAATAGATGGCAAGAGGAATAAGGCAGCACTTATACAGCAAACCGAGAGGTCAAACACAAAACGCTGCAATGTTATTACTTCTCAGGAGTCCTGACTGCTGCACCGCGGGGGGGTGTTTGGCCAATAAGGTGACGAAGCGGGACGAGCAGAGACACCGGAGCTCGTTCCTCATCGGTCGCCTCAAACGTCCACAAACTGTAGCAGACGTTTCTTTGTTTTCTCCTTCAGGAAGCTCAGCTGCGGTCTACTTATTCATTTTTTTAAGTCAGGATATGTTTTGCATTCACTAAATCACCAGCGAGAGAACAGTACAACCTTGTAGAGCTGTAACTCCGAGTGCTGCTTAAAATGAGAAAATGTCATTATCCCGATGCGATGAATTTCACCAGCGGCCCGAGGCCGTTTCATCACTCTCCCCGGCCCCCAAATAACAGCAGCGCCGTGTCAACAGTGCTTTTTTATCCCCTGCTCCCCGACTGGCAGGCGACACCCAGAAGCTGCAGACCGTCTGGCTGACGGGCATCTGCCGCAACGAGAAGAAAGAGGTGATGAGCAGCAAGCTGGACATCGACAACATGGCGGGGGTCTTCTACATGCTGCTGGTCGCCATGGGGCTCAGCCTGCTGGTGTTCGCCTGGGAGCACCTGCTCTACTGGAAGCTGCGCCACTCGGTGCGCAAGGCGGAGCGCCTGGACTTCCTCCTGGCCATCAGCAGAGTGAGTCCCCCTCGCACGACGACATCATCATCGGTTCTGACAGACGCCGCGGCGGATGTTGCTCCTACGTCCTTCTTCTGCCCTTCCAGACGTAGGATTGGAAATATGGGCGAAGCAGGAAGTGAAAAGGGCACGCGGCCGGCCACGGGTCAAGGGCGGCAACAATAAAAACAGAAAATATCAAATGAGTCGAAAGCAATAAAAGGACCCGGTGGATTCTTGCTGGAATGTTGTGACGGCCGTGATCCCTGAGAAATTGAATTTAAATTGCCCCATTAAACAAAGCTTCATCTGTGTGTCGACACTACAGTCAGAGGGGGGATTAGGGTCTCCAAACGATACGAGAGGGGGGGGGGGGCTAATGCATGGCAACTTATTCATTTATATTTTAAAATTATATTGTTAAACAATTTGATTCATAGAAACGTACCGACATGAAAACTTGTTGGTTTGCGTCTGATTCTCTGAACATTTCAATCTGAATGTCATTTAAAGGACACATTCTGCTTTTTATCCAGATCCTGTAGACAATTAATAATTCATTTAATGATTTAAGTGATCGTCGTAACTGTGAACCGCTGTCTCGTCCGAGGAACTGACTGAACTGCTCTGAACACGTTGGGAGGTTGTGAATAGTTTTATATAAATAGCACGTAGAGCCTCACATTGGAAACACATCAGAGAAACTGGAGAAATGTTGGATGTGTAGATTGCACCGTTTTCCCATTTGTGTATAATAAATGATTAAAGTCGGGGCTCCTTAGAGGTGCAAGACTTTATATTGCAGTGAAAATCAAATCTGAAGAGAACAAAGCCCCCCCCCGCCTCTCCAAACCTGTTCCGCGGTTCAGTTGATAATCTCCCCCTGTTGGTCTCTCTGCAGGGAATCTACAGCTGCTTCAGCGGGGTGGAGCAAACCGACCACAGCGGCAGCATGCCGAGTCCCGACGTCACTGCCAACTACACACAAGCCAATATGCTGAAGATGCTGAAGACGGCCAAGGACATGGTGTCCTCCGCCAGGGTGGAGAACTCTCTGGACAACGCCACCAAGACAATAGAGAACTGGAGCAGGCGGGGGGTGGACAATGTGCGACTCGGCCTGCCCCCTCGAGTGACGGCGGCGGACGTGACTCACGGCCGCCTGCCGTACATCTCAAGCATCACGGACAACCACTCGCCGTACTCTCAGAGGGCCCTCACCCCCACCTTCCCCCTCCACTACGGGGACGCCACCATCCAGCCGCTGCTGGAGAAGCCCTGCGTAGTGACCCGACCCAACGCGCTCCGCTACACGCTGCCCGCCCGCAACGCCCAGCACCTACTGGAGAGGACCCTGCCCATCTCCAGCCTGAGCAGTCCTCACATCGCCATGCGGGACCCGTCCCCCTCCGCCGCTTCCAACCCCCACCACGGCGGCAGGCTGTACGTGGAGAACCAGGCCCGGCGCCCGACGTCCCCGTTCGCTCCTTACAGGGAGTTCCAGGTGCCCGACATCTACGTCGAGCACAAGGGGCCGCTGCGGAGGAAGTTCAGCTACCCGCCGGACTGCGTGAGCCGGAAAAGGCGGTCCCACGGCTACGCGTTCGACGCCGCTGACCCCCGAGCGAGGGGAGACTACGACGAACCTCGGCCCTGCCTCGCCGAGTTGAGGGCCAACCACCTCCTGAGCAACCACGCCCCCTTCGCCACCGCAATGGCGTGCACTCGGGGACACTACGCAGGGGGCAGCGCCAGCTGCAACTCCTGCACAAAGTCCTACCTGGAGCCCGAGATGGACGACTTGCCACTGCTGGGGAAGGACAAGCTCAACCGCCGCGCCTCCTTCCTCAAAGCCACGTGGGGCAACGACAGGATCCATCAGGTGGACGAAACAAAGGCCTCCACCTCCGCGTCCTCCGCCCGCGTGGACATGCCCGACCTGTTTCCTCGGGTGCTGGTGGCCAACCAAAAGCCCAACAAGCTATACGGCAGCCTGGGGCACAACCTGTCCTGCTACCCGCTGGCTGCCGAGCCCGCGTACCTGGACCCGGCCCACATGGGATCCTACCCCTACAAGCAGAAGCTCAAGTACTCCGAGTCCACCAGGCTGCCCTCTTACAGGGAGGCCATCCTGCAGAACACCGCTGCCCTGCGCCGCTCCTCCTCCACGGTGGTGCACAGACACTACTCCACCTACCTGAACTCGTACACAGACTTGCCGGTGTATGTGGGGCCGCTGGCCCAGAGACCCGGCCAGTTCTACAACGGCTCCAAGGACATGTGCCACTTGTTCCCCTGTGCGAGCCACTGCCCGGATAACGCGACGATGCTGCCCCGCATGGGGGACCGCCAGGTAGTTTATCACAACAATATGTTCGGGGCCTGCGACGCCACAGGGAAGAGGGAGGACCCGGGCTCCGGGGGCCGAGAGCGGAGGCAGGTGTTGGTGGCGCGCAGAGTCAACAGTCCCTATGTGCCAAAGCCCTGGGGCAGGGTGTCCAGCCTGGAGTCCGAGGTCTGAGCCTCCGTCCTTACCTCCACCTGGCTCTCAAAGTGAGGGGCATGTCTGGGGGGGGTTGTCCCCTCAGCCTCTGCTTGAACTAAACTCTACACCAATAGTGTACTTGAGAGTGTTGACTCTCAATTATCAGTGCGATGAATCCTCGGGGGAAGCAAACATGCAACTGAGAAGACACTGACGAGTTAAACCCTGCTGGGACTTAAAATAATAATAAAATGTTGAAAAGTATTTAATACATAAGAATTTAACCTGTTGATTGTTATTTAGAGGATTTTTAAATGCTGTGTTGCTATGCGAAAGACTTCTGGGAGACAATATACTGGGGCCTCTCAAACTGATTAAGACCGGAGACGTATTCTTTTTTCTCATTTTTCTCTTCTGGTGAAAATCATTTCATTACCCAACATCGAGTGATTCGTTGTTAAGATCATTTTGCGATCAAACCGCCGACATGTCGGGATTTTCAAAAGTCCTCTGAGCCTTTTCATTCAGCGAATTTGACTTGGATCTTAAAAAAAGAGAAGGGAAAACCATAAGAGAGTATCCCGTGTATTTCCATTGTTACACGACCCTTTAATAAAGAACAAGGTCATCTCAAGGGCCGTTTGGAATCATCTGTCATCTCATCTATATGATAAACGTGCTCTCACATCCCACGCTCATGTGATGATCGGGACACAATGTACACACAATCTATTATTTCAATCTGCCGACGCTCGCAGAACGGGTGATTGTGTGAACACGCTCACTTGCTATTGAGCCCTGTGGCACTATCTGCTCCAACAAAGTGCTTCTAGCCATTAAAGGGGGGGCCTATATTGAACTGGATTAGATAAATCTGACCCAAACCAATTCACTTGACATGCGGCAGAAAAGCTACATTCAGCAGACAATTATTAAGTCACGCGTGTTGAAATCACAAGAAAAGGTTGAGTCAACTTTTGGAAGCAGCTTGCGGCTCAAAGCTCATAGCTTCAGACTTGAAGAGCCAATATTATGAATAACTGTAAATATTGAAAATAACTACGTGTAACGTTACATCCCTAAAGCCAACATGAATTATTAACTTCAGCCTCAGTTCCAATACAAAAACTAATTGTGGGGGGAAACAATACGATGCCAATCCATCCCATAATGACAACATTTATCATAATTGATTACAGCAGATTCAACAGAAAGAAAGCGTCCAACAACCAGAGAAAATAAATAAGCTCCTTGATAACAACATACGAATTGACTGAACAGATCCAAGATTGTGAGCCAATTCCACACTACTAATTAACTGCAGTATAACTAAAACTCATATTTAGAGGGTACTGTGATGGAAATGTTTAAGAAATAAACATACTTCACCTTCATGAGAGGAAATTATACATGTCTGCCATTTAATTTGAAATGCCAAAACTTTCCAAAGCTTTGAAATGTATCTTTTTGTTTTTCAAAGTCTTTCAGGAACTTCTACCTGTATTTCAAGTATAGAGTATATATATATGTATATGTATATATATTTATATATGTATATCCATTTAGTCTGTGCATTGATTGTGGGACATCAGCATCAGCTTCTTAAGGAGTGTTACGAGTTCACTTCATACTGAAAACCTGCGATGTGAAATACGGAATTGGGACGCTATGATTTTTTTGACATCACTGTGAACACGAGCAGCAGAGCGCAACCTCGTGAGTCTTTGTCGCCGCAGAATCGATTCTGGAAAGAACTGCAGTGCTTCCGATTTGCATGGAGAGGGAATAATATAGTGAATTATATTCAGTGACCTCACCTGGCTGTTTTAGATAAAAGTTAAAGCCAGTCTACAATATGCTCCTCAGCTCCAGGACTGGTTGCAGCGAGATGAGAAGAAACAACTTGGCCCAAATCACTCAATGCTCAGACGTCAGCATCTAGTCATAACGGAGCATGATGCACTGAAGCACCAGAAGACACCGCTGGCAAACAACAAGACCCAAAGAAGGAAATAGCTCAGCCACAAAAACAAGGCGATCACGATTTCTAACACTACAAACTGCACATCGAACTAACGCAGCACGTACTCGCAGGCTGCAGAGGCAAAAGACATAAAAACACCAGCAGCTGGACAGCCTGATATCAGAAGACATAAACAGAGACAGAGCTGGGACATAATCTCACAATATGAAGGTTTCTTACCTTGCTGAAGGGAAACAGGGCCTGAATGTAAACTTGTGGTCTGCAGGCAGCGGCTGAGAGGCGCCTCCCTCACACCTGCAGAAAGGCAGAACAATGGTTGACACGTTGATATAAAAACAGAATGATAGCAAAACAGAGGGTTGCAAACGGGTGCGTTCCATATGAATGTCTTGAGATATGGAGTCACGTGTGAACAAATTAAGTTATCACAATTTTATTTGTATAACCCAATGTCATAAATCGCAAATAGGCCCCAAGAGCAAACTATTTATCTTTAGATCCTCTATTTAGATGGTCAAAAACTCTCCCCAGAAGAGCTCAATGGGGAATACATACAGTCCCCTCCGTAAGTAATGGAACGGTAAGGCAAATTCTTTTATTTTTGTTGTTCACTGAAGACATTTGGGTTTAAGATCAAAAGATGAGTATGAGACAAGAGTCCAGAATTTCAGCTTTTATTTCCTGGTATTCACATCTAGATGTGTTAAACAACTCACGACAAACCACCCTTTGTTTGAACCCACCCATTTTTCAAGTGAGCAAAAGTATTGGAACATGTGACTGACAGGTGTTTCTTGTTGCCCAGGTGTTTTAGGTTGACTGTCCAAACATTAAATAGCTCTGCATGACTAGTCTAAGTTTTCACCGTCGGTTCAAACCTAGCAAGACTGCATTTGCTGTTAAAGAGGATAAACCAACCTGAACACCAGAGATCTGTCTATGGGAGAAAAGCAAGCCATTGTCAAGCTGAGAAAAGAAGGAAAGTCGATCACAGTCATTGGACAAACATTGGGAATAGCAAGCACAACTATTTGGAATGTCCTGAAAAAGAAACTACTGGTGTTCTGAGTAACAGATGTCGAACAGGTCGGCCAAGGAAAACAACAGTAGTTGATGACAGAAGTATCGAGAGAGCTGTGAAGAAAACATCAGTAAGTGGCATCACCAACGACCTCCACAGGGCAGGGGTGAAGGTATCACAATCCACTGTTCAAAGACTTAGAGAGCAGAAATATAGAGGCCACACCACAAGAAACCACTCATCAGCAGTCAGAATCGGAAGGCCAGATTGGAATTTGCAAAGAAGTAGAGAGATGAGCCGCAAAAGTTCTGGAAGACAATCTTATGGACTGATGAGACCAAGATGATCTCTACCAAAGTGATGGAAAGGCCAACGTGTGGAGAAAGAAAGGAACTGCTTATGATCCGAAGCACACAAGCTCATCTGTGAAGCATGGTGGAGGTAACGTCATGGCTGCTTCTGGAACAGGCTCGTTGATACTTACTGATGATGGCAGCAGCAGAATGAATTCAGAAGTGTACAGAAACATTTTGTCTGCCAATTTATTGAGAAATGCATTGAAACTAATCGGGAGAAAGTTTATCATGCAGCAGGACAATGACCCAAAGCACACTGCCAACAGAACAAAGGACTTCATCGGGGGGGAAAAGTGGAAGAGGGTTCGAACAAAGGGTGGGATGTCGTGAGTTGTTTAACACATCTAGATGTGAATACCAGGAAATAAAAGCTGAAATTCTGAACTCTTGTCTCATACTTATCTTTTGATCTTAAAACCAAATGTCTTCAGTGAACAACAAAAATAAAGGAATTTTCCTTACAGTTCCAATACTTTGAGGGGACTGTATGAGTAAAACATAATACAGAAAATAGAGAGATCCTTCCTCCATGCTTCAGATTTAGATTTAGTTTGTGAGGAAAGACGGACGGATACAATTTGACTCAATTTGAAGAATATGAATACTTAAAGTTAAATTTAACTAAAATAATAGGTATAGAAAACAATACTTCACAATTAGCTGATAATAATATTGAAGGACATGTGCTAGCTTACTGCTACAGATGCTAACGAGCAGCAAGCGCCAACAGACCGGAAGTGACGATCGAGCTAGCAAAGCTAGCGATATCACGTTTCAAATTACTCTACAAGTCAACCTCGGTCCGTAAAGTCACTGAATAATTACTTTTTTATAAGTGGCTAATCGTGAAAGTACGCGTTTACCAACAAAGACACACTTTTACGGAGATTTCTAAAAGTAATTTGCTCACCAACGGGACAGGGTGACACAGACCGGAAATGCCGTTTGGGTCGTACCACTGTTGTCCTGAAGGGGGTACGAATGTTACAGAACAGTCCAAATGGAAAACTAAACCAACAAATTATCACAAAATATATATTATAACTATATATTACAGTGAATAAAATATATCATTATCTAATAAATACATTAAATAATGATGATGTCAAATTTCAATGCTTCTTCTTCTTACAATAATGCCTTAAAATACAGTAAATTTACAAACTACACAATGAATGTTTCTTATATCATATATTACGAAAAATAAAAAATACAAAATTTCACACAAGTACCAAATACATTCTGCAAAACCATATATGATCAGCAACTTGTCAACTTGATTAATGTTACCAGTATTCAAACTGAAGACTGCCATATTTATTTCAGATGCATCGTTCCATCAAATGGATCATCATTTATACACATTAGTTGACTTGAAATGCAGTTGTGTGTTATGATCTATGTTTTGCCAGTAATAATGACCGGCCCATTGGCGAGTGGCCAAAGACATTTAAAGTAATAAATGCAGGATCAATTTTCTAGAAACGTTAATGAAACCTACTATTTTTTTTTTCATTTGACTTGAACAATAGATGTGATTTATTTTCACTTTGACATTTTCCAATGCAACAAATGTTGGTTTGCAGAGCAGAGATCCAGAACCCCCGCCCCCCCCCCCCCCCCAAAAAAAATCAAATAGCACTGAGGAACAACATTAAATTCAGTTATAAAGACCAAATATAGCAGCCTTAAAACTCTGCCGTCTCTTTATAATATTACATCTGGGAGTAATTTAAACTCACAGCGCATGCTGCAATAATGGGATATTGCCTCCTGGGCCCTGGTGCGTTTCCAGGCACTCGGAGACACAAACAGGGACACAGCGGTTCAGCGATGAGGCTTTTATGTATTCTGCACTCCTCCTGCAGACCTGCAGAATTGATGGGGGGGGGGGCGGCTGATTGCAGTGCGGATGATAAATGATTCTCCACATGCGGATAAAATATCACCGGCCATTTGCAATGTCCCAAATTATCCACAGCCACACACTGGTGCCGTCGTGTTGCTCCATCGCGTTCCGATGGGGATAAAAAGGCCGTTTAGAGACATCAGATAAAACAGAGCTGCGCCTGGAGCGCTCACAGAGAACAGAACTATTAACCTTAAATACTTATTCCACATCAGCGGCCAAGTTGAAACCCCATCAGGGCCGAGATGCTGCTTAGCGCTCTATAACAGCTCACTCTTCAAATGAAGACAAGTGGAGTCGAGTCAATAAACGGGGATGAATTATGGGATCATAAGCCCACAAGTAGCCAAGCGAAGCTACAATCAGTCGTACAACACAGACGGGACTCGTCTGAAGGACCTTTCAATGTTTCTGTTGTTACTTCACAAGTTCTAATAATCTCTTTGGAGCCTGTGCAGGATAATTCCACTGAGATTGGTAATCGCTTCAGCAAAGTGTCCTCGTTTCTCCTCAGATGACAACACGAAGGCTTTTCAGAGACGACACGCTTCCATCAGCACCTGTGAATTCAGTTTTTAAACGAAGGAATGATTCTGTTTGGATTTTTTTTCTCACATCAAGACACATTCTGGTCATTTTTCAAACGTTTAACATCTTCTGGCCAGTTCTCACACACTCCTCATTCAGAGAGACATTCATGTGGATGATGAGCCGCGTGGCCGGATGACCTCCGCCGCCACTCTGGATTCACTCGGCCTCCGGAAGCCACGACAGAAACGATGGACCCGTCTCATCTCGTTGGGCCGCTGCTGGTTCTTCTCTCCTCATACGACCCATTAGCACTTATACTGCGCACACGTTCATGTGGAAATGGCTGTGTATTACTTTTTGTAATACTTTTGTAAAGTCAGAATCTTCCAAAATAAAACAAGTATATACATAGAAATTCTGCTTCTAACAGAGTTTTATTGTTGTAAGTGAGGTTTTCACAAAAAGAATTCTCAGAAAAGTGCAAGAAGGTAAAGTCTCATGTGAACTTTAAATACCAAAAACGTGATTCACTAAAAGCTTCAACTGGTTGTTGATCGTCTTCTGGTGAGAAAGTGTGTGTGGATCCTCAGTCCGACTTTACCCTCCAACCCGCAGACAACGTGTTAGTGGAGTGTTTGATCAGAGCACCTGGAGCTGGAAGAGAGCCACACACACACACACGCACACACACACACACACACACACACACACACACACACACACACACACACACACACACACACACACACACACACTCTGACACTGAGTCTCTGCTGTTGGTTTGAAGGATCCTTGAACCTTATTTCTTCACTGTAGCGTGATGACAGCTGGGTCGGGTGAGGGGGGGCAACTTTTACCTGACTAACTATTATCTGATGCATATAAAATATATTTAGTGTTTGCACCAAGGTCGTTAATCAGGAGGATTCTCATCTGACGTTCTGACGAGCTGGAACAATAATGTAGAATAATGGACGCTTTATTTACAAGCTTTTCTGTTCAGTGTAAATTAAATTGCACTCGTTCATTTTTACTATTTCGACGGCACCCGTGAGTGTCCCGACTGACGGGATGGAACAGAGCAGTTTGTTGGGACGGCTCCATAATCCGCCCGGCCCACAGGGCTCCGGTTGATAAGTCGGGATCCCGCCGGAGGCCTTCTGGCCCGACCAGGGAAAAGATGGCATGTGGGGGTCCGTGAGACGAGAGTCAACAGATGGCTGCTCACACACACACACACACACACACACACACACACCACGGTGTGGGCTCGTATGATGTAATCACAGCGAGGAGCAGACCCTGGTTGATGCGGGTCCAGGTCTGATCACAGCCTGTCACAGCTGCTGTGGAGTCAGTGAATTACGTTAGATTAAGATTAGAGGGGCGACGACACAACTGGTGTTCTGCTGCCGTTAGCTTCGGGCTAAAGCTAAAGGCTGGAGGAGACAAGGAGAGGAACCGCGGACGGACCCCTCTCTTCACTGGCTGAGGGAGGAACCTGCGGATGAGGGAAACGCGCCCTCTGTAGGTTCCCGGCGCACGCGGGCCATATGGCGCCGCCGCGTGTGGTGTCCCGGGCCGGGTTGGCGTTCAGGCTTTAATCAGTCACTTTCTGCTGCAGCGTTCCGCCATCTGGCCCGGACACTCGGACCAGCGGGCCGCTGCTCACGCCGAGACGCCACGAAGACGCACCGTCGGCCATATCGTGCAGATTAAGTGACAGCCGAGCGCAGTTGAGTGTTCACCTTCCAGTGTGTGGTGTGTGTGTGTGTGTGTGTGTGCTCTTTTGTCCCCTTTAATAAATACTCAATAAAACCCAAAGTCGGCTGAGTGACCTGAGTATTTATTCTCTGATCATTTGATGGCACATTTGATGGACGGAGGCGGCGTACTGGTTCCCCTCCCTCCTCGTCCTGCAGAGCTCCTCCTCCTGATAAGAGGCGTGTTAATATGAACAAACCATCACGCCGCCCGGCGTCCCCCCCCCCCCCCTCTCTCGAGCATCCACAAAAAGCCTCTGTGACCCAATTCTGGGGGCCGCCACACGTTGAATAAATTGACTCCATAATTCTTTTTCCCAGACCAGATGCTGAGAGTAACTGGGGGGGGGGGGGGGGTGTAAGACAAGCTGCAACATCAAGTTGCCATAATAACGAGATTCTGCACTCACTATCGGGTTTGAAAAGGAAAAATTCACTTCTCCAAATCCAAAAAAATAAATGTTATTAAATAATAAGGACATATAACTCTCAAATCAATCGGTTCATTAAAGTTTGATACCAATGCTGATTGATTGTTACTCCCTGTGAAATCATTAAACAATGCATATGTAAATAATACATGTCTCCATGTAGTTGTTTCTCTCTATGTGAACTAATTAACTGTCATTTACTTTGTAGTAGTTTCACTTTGGGATCTTCGTAGCTGTTTTGCGTCCCTGAGTAGTTTCCTGTGTCTCCGTTTGGTCTTAATGTGTCTCTCAATGCTGGTTTCTACGTCTGGTCCATTTCTACGTACTTTCAGGCCTCAGGTCTCATAAACATTTAGGACCTTTGTATAAAGAAAGACGTTCTAGGTGTGGTTCTCTCCATCATGTCGTCATACAGTACAACCTCGGTTGCCCCGAGCGACGGCAGCCACGTTCTCCCTCAACGCACTCGTCTAAAGCACCGCTAACAAACGTCGTCCACAGGGGTCATCGGGGGAACGGAATGAAGGAGCGACCGCAAGGTGCACGACCCGCAGCAGGTTCACGCGCTCTGCTCGCTGCGTGAAACCCCCCCGTCCAGGTCCCGCGGACCCCCGTCGGGGCCCGTTTGAGCCTTGAGCCCTCGTGGGACTCTGGGAACTCTGCGAGTTACAACCAGGTCCGGTCCTGCAGCAGGAGGAGACCTGGAGGTCAGTCGACCTTCAGAATCCAGGCCCCCCCCCTCGTCACGTGCATCGATGCTCCCGCGCTGCACCTCTTCGGTGATGGCTGGTGCCTCTTCGGGCAATGGGAGTGCTTTTAATGGACCCCCCCCCCCCCCGTGTCTGAGAGAGACATGAGGGGCCGGATACTTTTGAGAGCTTATCCCTCTCCGGTAATGAGACGGAGCTTTGTCCAAGGTTGAGTTAGAGAGCAGGAGAGAGCGCAGTTTGCAGAAGGAAACATAATAAAGATGGCCGACTGGGTTCTGTATGCACGCCGGCGAGCCCGTGAGTAATCGAGGGAAAATCAATAACAGCTTAATGTTTCCCCGGAGAAACGTCAACGTCAACGTGTTCCTCCATTTACCCCCCCCTCCCCTTTCATCCTTTCAGAAGGAATGACTTCACTGAATCCATCACTCAATGAACGCCACGAGGAACTTCCTGTCCGTGAGGTGACGGCTGATCTGATGCTCGTTTGCTTCTTTATTAGAAACCTTTAATAATATCAGGATCCTCAATCGCCTCGCAGCACTGGGAACTTCTGCCCCCCCCCCTCCCCCCAGGATAAATAAGGCCTGGAGAACATCTGGGTGGATGTCAATCAGCGGTTTGTGCATCAACCCAACCGGGTCTCGGAGGCCGGAGGTGTAGTTACAGTGGAAGTGTCGTGGGGCCCTCGGACCCCCCCCCGTGGATCCGTCAGGTCGCCCCGACCCGTGAATTGTTTCTGGTTCTGGTTAACGAGCCCTTGCAATCACTGGTTTTACTTCTGCAAGGCCAAACATTAAAGCAACCAATAGTGACAAATAAGACATGCTCAACAAAAAAATGCTCTCTGGAGGGAATCAGCGAGGAAGCAGAACCCGCTCGTGTTTTCCCTCTCCCCTGATGCAAAGAAATGATCCCTACAGCCCCCCCCCCTCCCCCCCTGACCTTCACCACGCTCCACCGCGTGTAAAGCCTCGGTTTGCGGCCCATTTGGCGGCAGGTGTAGAGGCGGAGCTTGGGAGAATAACTGACAGCAGGAGGCGGGACTTCGCTCTTCAGCTCAACCTTTACGGGTCCGATGTTTAGGAGGGAAAAAAGTCTCCTTCACAAAGCAGGTCGCAGATTAGTTC